TGAGTTTGTGTCGGTTGTGTGTGTGTGTGTGTGTGTGGGTGTGTGGGTGGTGTGGGTGTGTGTGTGTGTGTGTGTGTGTGGGTGGGTGGGTGCGTGCGTGTGCGTGTGCGTGTGGGTGTGTGAGTGTGTCTTCGTGGCTTGCCCCCCCCCCTCTCCTGGCTGTGCGCCTGACGGTGTCTGTGTCAGACTTTTCATGCTCGTACGCGACACCGCCCCGACCTCCCTCACGCCCTTCTCCTCACATCTCCCTTTCACACGCTATGTCGCCCACATGTGACAGGCAAGACTGTGCTGATTAAGTATCTGGCTGACGGTCCCGTGGACAAAGAGAAGAACGAGAAGCAGGTCTTCTTCGACGTCAACGGCGTTCCCCGCGCAGTTTCCATCAAGTCAAAGGTGCGTTTTGTTGGTCGTCATGTGGTGGTGCAGCTGGGCGCCAGTGCCACGGAGAGGGTGTGATGGTTGCCTGCAGGCAGAACCATTCAGCCGTGCAACGCGTCGCTGACACGCATCAACACGTGCCATGCATTTCTGTTTGCGTCCCGATGACAGGCGTCTGGTCCCGTGAAGGAGGCGAAAAAGGCAGACCCGGGCAACAAGGGATCCCTCGGTGCGTCGCGTGTGTGTGTGTGTGTGTGTGTGTGTGTGTGTGTGTGTGTGTGTGTGTGTGTGTGTGTGTGTGTTCATTTGACGCCAGTTTGTTGTGGTCGCGTCGCTGTCTGATAACCTCATCCTTCCCTCACACCCTCACACAAACACACACTCATGCCATCACACTCTCACTCACACGCTTGTGCACAATTGTTGCCTTCAGGTGCGCCCATGCCTGGCGCTGTGGTTGAGGTACATGTTGGTGTTGGCGATAAGGTGAAGGCGAACCAGTCGCTTGTTGTCCTCAACGCCATGAAGATGGAGACCGTCGTCGCAGCGCCATTCGCAGGTCTGTTGTTTGGCAAGGGTGTTGCCTTGTGTGTCTTGTGTGTGTGTGTGTGTGTGTGTGTGTGTGTGTCTATGCCTGTGGGTGTGTGTGGGTGTCTATGCCTGTGTGTGTGTGTGTGTGTGTGTTGGCTTTGCACTTCACTCTTTCTGGTTATTGTTGCTCACAAACACCACACACCACACACCACCGTAGGCGTTGTCACGGCTGTTGAGGTTTCCCAGGGCGACACCATCTCTGGTGGTGATCTGCTGCTGGAGATCCAGCCCGAGTAAACCCCAACGCGCGGTCCTCACCGCCGCTGCTGCTGCTGACACGATCCACCCTTTGGTTCTTGTGGGTCGTCTGCTGATGTGATTTTGTTGTCGCTGCCGTTGTGTGTGTGTGTGTATGTGTGTGTGTGTGTTGCTGTTTGTGTCGATGCGATGCCATGTGGGTGGAAGGGCGCTTCGTCGTGTACGGAAGCGAAATGCCCTGCTCTTGTTGTTGTCTTGGCAAAGATGCGGTTGCGTCTGCATAAACACATGCACAGCAGTTTTGGTACAGGTTTCCCGCCAATCGCACGCTTCATGCATGTGTGTATGTCTGTCTGTCTGTGTGAAGGAATTGATGGTCGATTCGCTAGCACATTTGGCTGCACTGGCTGCCGTGCACCCACCACTGCCTTGAGACAACCGCAGGTTGAAAGTCTCGACAGAGTTTCCCGCTTCATTGTGTGTGGTACGATTGATTGGGGTGGTGGTTGTGTGCGATGGGTTGGGGGGGGGGTGTTGCAGTGCATTCGGGTGTCATGTTGATATTGTTGTTGGAACTCAAGGAAGCGTGAATGGTGTCAGGGTGTTGGGGTGTCATGTTGATATTGTTGTTGGAACTCAAGGAAGCGTGAATGGTGTCAGGGTGTCGGGGTGAATGACGGCAGCATTGACAAAACGGAGATGAAGAATCAACAGGGATTGGTTGAATGGAGAGCGGAAGAACGGAAGGGTTGCAGAAAGTATGACAAGGAAGAACACACGCGCGCGCACATGCGCACACACACGCACTGCACACACCCGCACACACACACACACCACACAAAGATCAGCATCCCGGATCGATGAGGAGGACCGACTCAGAGTCAAATGGAATGCTGTAGATGAGACCATTTGGAGCGAGTACACCACTTATCCATTCGAAAGACCCAGAAAGATCGCTTATGGTTGTGGTGTCGCTGGTGTTGGTGGTTGGATCGAAGATGAAAACAGATGAAGAGTTGTATGGGACGCCGACGATGTTGCCGTTGGGTGCGAGCACGCCGTTAATCCACTGGAAAACCCCCGGTCCACTTGCAACAACGAGCTCGTTGGTGGCGTTTGTGGCGGGGTCGATGACGAGCGTCGTTCCGGAGGGAGATGGCAAAGTGTAAATGAGACCATTGCTCGCAAGTACGCCGTCATACCACTTGAAATCTCCGCCAAGACGCCGAATCGTCGTGACGTTCATCGCGAAGGACTCGGGATTGATGATGAGCACGGAGGAAGACAAGAAGGGGATGCAGTAGATGAGGCCGTTGTCCGCCTGCACGCCGCTGGACCACTTGTGCACTTGGCTCGACAGCCCGGACAGCGTCGTGATGTCTGCTGTGTTGGTCTCAGGATCAATGATCAGCACAGACGTGGCAGAGAATGGGATGCCGAAGATAAGGCCGTTGCTGGCCGCCACGGCGCCCCACCACTTGAAGCTACCAGTACCAAGAGAGTCAATGCTTGTAGTGTCAGTGATGTTGGTGTCTGGGTCGACGATGAGCATCGTCTCCCGGTCTGAAGGGACCATGAAAATGCGACCGTCGCGTGCCGACACAGCATCGGACCACTTGCGGTCGTCCGTTTCCCAGTCCGGCAATTGTGGTCGCATCAACGGTGTTGGTGCCCGGGTCGATGATGAGCACGGAAGGCGAGACGTATGGTGTGGCGTAGATCAGGCCAGTGTTCGCCAGCACACCCCCAAGCCACTTTCCAGCCATTGAGCCGAGTTGCCCAAACGTGCTGGCGTTTGGGGCGCACGCTTTGCCGTCCACACTATCGATGGTGCTCTGCTGCGCCGAGATGGCGCTCTGCTGCGCGGCATTGATGCTCTGCTGCACCGACACGGTACTGAGCAGCGTGTCCACTGTTTGGAACAGCTTGTTTACGTTCATGCCGTTCACGAACACGGGCTGGTTCGATGGATCACTCGTGTTGATGTGAAACGCGCCCTCACGATCCTCCACCATTGTCACCTTTCCGACGCTGATGAACGGCATCACCAGCAGCAACGAGCAGAGCGTGATAAAAGCAGGGAGCAGCGCATTTGCCTGCCTTGCCTGCAGGCACTCTGGTCTCATCAGGGGTCGCGTCATCTTCATCATGAGCCCTTGTCCTGAGCAGAGAAGGTTTGTCCTAAGCAGCGGAAGAGCTGAAGAGAGGAGGTCAGTTTGTCCTGAGGAGAGGAGAGGAGAAAGAGAAGAAAAAGCACAAGGAAGTGTGTTCGTTTGTGCTTTTCACGTCACATTACAAGTTGTCGTTTGTGACACGTAGTGGCCGTTGTCGATGATGATCGGAAATTGTACATGGATTTCGAGCAGTGGTTGCGGAAGATTGTTGCGAATCGTACATGGATATCGAGCCAATCAAGGCAGTCGCATCACATCGCATCCACCACACCCCCACACACCCCCACACACACACTCACTCACACACACACACACACACACACACACACACACTCTCTCTCTCTCTCTCTCTCTCTCTCTC